GAGACACGGGCGGCGGGGGGGGGGGGGGGGGGGGGAACTAACACTGAAACAAAAAGAAACTGGATTTTCAACTGAAACTACATGATATCTGCAAAAGCTGCTCTACAAAGCAAAATCCCGAGATTTACGTGCCAGCAGTGTAGCCTCTCTATGCGTATCATATATGCAGGGTGGTGGCACACAGGCCGTCTTCCAGTCATTGCTAGGATTAAAACTATCTGGGCCTTGAACCAGCGGCCAGGAAGCAGGATGCCTATTCTGGAGAAAAGCACAATCCTTCCGGGACGATCCTGAAGCACTGAGCAGGAGAAACAGGAGTGCAGACATCTGTATCTGCAACACATTTTTCTTTTTCAGCTGGCCACAGGTACACTTTAAGCGAACTCTAGGTGTTCATTGGCACCTTTTCCAGCTGTGTGACAGGAGGAAAGAAATATGTCGGCTGCTGTTCATCAAAACCCCAGTCAGAGCTTCACATGCTGCTGACATGATAATCTGCCTGTGTGCCACCACTTACACCAGTCTGCAGAGTCCAGCCCCAGTATGTCAGCAGGGCCATGGTAAGATTACAGGTTTTATATTCTAAATCAACTATAGAGTGATAAACCAACTTGAAGATTAAAAAAATTGAACTATTGAGAACAATTAACTAGCTCAACCCAAAACCAATCCATCAGTTACAAGAAATAAGCCAACTAGTTCAACCAGACAGTTATTGTGCGCCTGGGCAAGTCTCTTGTGCACCAACTAAGTGACGAGATATTACATAAGCGGATTTCAAAAGTATTTGATAGATGAGACCTCTGAATGGGAACCTCCATTAAAAATGTCATGGGTCCCTTTCATTTTTTGTTTTGATGTACTACTTATCCCCCATCAGTATCTGATATTGACTCCACTGCCTTATATTTCTGCCATCAATTCATCCCCCAATGTTTCCACCAGACTGCCTACGTCCTGTCCTCGCTCTGTTAATACACCTTCTGCACCAACCTGACATGTTTGGGTCCAGATCTTTCTTCTCCTTCTCTTATTTAAACCATCACATCCCCCGTCTCTTGCATCATGGCTCATCCAATATCCCTCCATCACATTCAATGCTTTCTGATATTCACATAACTGTACCACCATCTCCCATTTCACATCCAATATTCTTATGTCCTGTCACATTTCCCCTTTGTTAATGTCTCCATTTCCTCTTCATTAATACAACTCTCCCGGCTGCATTTCTAATTCACAACATTCCTTCTATCTGTCTATTACATTCCATCTTACAGCAGAGTGTGTCTTGGCTGTGGGTGATAGGATGCTGGGACTGTAGTACCCATGATTAGCACAGTATACAATGTAAGTTGTGTTTTCTGTTTAGTAGTGTTTGGCCCACTGCCCCACTGACTCCTAATTACAGCAAAGACAAATCAGCAGACGAGTTCTTGCCGCATGTGGATAATCTGTAATAATGCATCCTGTACATCTGCGTCCATATGGCCCTGTGAATAGAAGAAGATTTTATCAGCAGCTAAAACAACTTCAAAACACCAGATAACTGAAGGCACCACAAAGTCACTGAGTGTCTGGTCATACATGTGTATTGGAGCTGTAAAGTTTCCCTATATATAAGAAATAGATATAATTAGAGCTGCAGCTAACGATTATTTTCAAAATCGATTAGTTAGCCGATTATTAAGTTCGATTAATCGGTTAATCAGTTGCAGTATTTGAAAATGTTCTCATTGTACCAAACTCTGTAATATTCTACACAATAGACTTTGGAGTCCAAAAACTTTTACCTGCACAGCATTCAACAGATGAGCACGATAGATGGAGATGATCTCCTGGTGTCTGCGCTGCATCTCCTGTAATAAATAATGTGTCTGTTAGGCAAATAAAGCTGCACAGGAGACAGAAGAAGCCATCATATACAATACTAACCTAGATTATGACTGGTTCTAAATGTACACAGCGTAATATAAATGACACCACCCACATTTATTGATTTCCTCTTTATGTCATACTCTGTAGTAGTTTTTACTGACGTTCTTTGCCCATTGAAGACGTATTTGGTAATCTACACTGTGTAAAACGTTAACCAGTTTTGGACATTAGGAATGCTACACATGCCCCAAAAAAACCTAATTGTAGTACACAGGGTGTGTGGAGTATGCCTTGTCTTTTTGCACCACTGCCTCTTCCCTCCCTCACATTTGTTGGCGGTCAGAATGGCAACTAGGAGTTGCCTGGAAATACGACCGCGATCACAGCTACTTCTGTCCAAACCGGACCTACTGACAGTGTTCATAAATAGTCCCAAAGTTAAATAGAGAGATCCAAAGTATCATTGTTACTTGTGTAATTACTTTTGTTTCATTCATCTGCAGATCAAAGGGATGAGCTTCAATCTGTATATGAAGTCAGTTAAAGCAACTTGAAAAAAATTGCCGCTCGTTTACCCTAATCAGGCCTAATGAACATCTCCCCCCTATTAATTTCCATCACTAATTTTTGTAATCAATATATAAAAAAAAAAAACTTTGTTTTATTCAGCCTATCAATTGTAAATAACTTTTTAATGCTCTGTACCAGAATCCTAATTTTAGTGTAATTTTAAAAGGACAAATTATAGAATAAAATGTATACAATTCATCTATAAAACTTTACTTTCTGCTTTGATCAATTTGTTTAAAAAAAAAGTTTTTGCAAGACAACATCAGTAAAAGAAAGCCCAATTTGTCCTAAAAATACAAATATCTTTGTTATCTTAAGAATAGCAGAGCAGAGCCCACCATAGCAGAAATGTAAAAATTGTGCTGGGGTGGTTAACTAAAAATGTTTATTGTCCATGGACAGCACAGGGCATAATGCCCAATTATAATGCCAAGTACACAGCAGTCCCATGCCATTACTTACATCCAGTTGGCCCTGTAGGGCTTTGAGCTGATTCTGCAGAAGCTCTGTTGAATGGCTTTTTGCAGGAAGCAGGGACAAGGACTTCTTCAGCTTCTCTATATCCTTAAGAAGAACAGAGACCTTGCCAAAAGAAAAAAGCACAAACATCAGACTTACAGAAAGGAGGAGTGGATGTATACTGAGGACAGAAAAGGAGGAGTGGATGGATACTGAGGACAGAAAGGAGGAGTGGATGGATACTGAGGGCAGAAAGGAGGAGGGGATGGATACTGAGGGCAGAAAGGAGGAGGGGATGGATACTGAGGGCAGAAAGGAGGAGGGGATGGATACTGAGGGCAGAAAGGAGGAGGGGATGGATACTGAGGGCAGAAAGGAGGAGGGGATGGATACTGAGGGCAGAAAGGAGGAGGGGATGGATACTGAGGGCAGAAAGGAGGAGGGGATGGATACTGAGGGCAGAAAGGAGGAGGGGATGGATACTGAGGGCAGAAAGGAGGAGGGGATGGATACTGAGGGCAGAAAGGAGGAGGGGATGGATACTGAGGGCAGAAAGGAGGAGGGGATGGATACTGAGGGCAGAAAGGAGGAGGGGATGGATACTGAGGGCAGAAAGGAGGAGGGGATGGATACTGAGGGCAGAAAGGAGGAGGGGATGGATACTGAGGGCAGAAAGGAGGAGGGGATGGATACTGAGGGCAGAAAGGAGGAGGGGATGGATACTGAGGGCAGAAAGGAGGAGGGGATGGATACTGAGGGCAGAAAGGAGGAGGGGATGGATACTGAGGGCAGAAAGGAGGAGGGGATGGATACTGAGGGCAGAAAGGAGGAGGGGATGGATACTGAGGGCAGAAAGGAGGAGGGGATGGATACTGAGGGCAGAAAGGAGGAGGGGATGGATACTGAGGGCAGAAAGGAGGAGGGGATGGATACTGAGGGCAGAAAGGAGGAGGGGATGGATACTGAGGGCAGAAAGGAGGAGGGGATGGATACTGAGGGCAGAAAGGAGGAGGGGATGGATACTGAGGGCAGAAAGGAGGAGGGGATGGATACTGAGGGCAGAAAGGAGGAGGGGATGGATACTGAGGGCAGAAAGGAGGAGGGGATGGATACTGAGGGCAGAAAGGAGGAGGGGATGGATACTGAGGGCAGAAAGGAGGAGGGGATGGATACTGAGGGCAGAAAGGAGGAGGGGATGGATACTGAGGGCAGAAAGGAGGAGGGGATGGATACTGAGGGCAGAAAGGAGGAGGGGATGGATACTGAGGGCAGAAAGGAGGAGGGGATGGATACTGAGGGCAGAAAGGAGGAGGGGATGGATACTGAGGGCAGAAAGGAGGAGGGGATGGATACTGAGGGCAGAAAGGAGGAGGGGATGGATACTGAGGGCAGAAAGGAGGAGGGGATGGATACTGAGGGCAGAAAGGAGGAGGGGATGGATACTGAGGGCAGAAAGGAGGAGGGGATGGATACTGAGGGCAGAAAGGAGGAGGGGATGGATACTGAGGGCAGAAAGGAGGAGGGGATGGATACTGAGGGCAGAAAGGAGGAGGGGATGGATACTGAGGGCAGAAAGGAGGAGGGGATGGATACTGAGGGCAGAAAGGAGGAGGGGATGGATACTGAGGGCAGAAAGGAGGAGTGGATGGATACTGAGGACAGAAAGGAGGAGTGGATGGATACTGAGCACAGAAAGGAGGAGCTATGGATACTGAGGGCAGAAAGGAGGAGTGGATGGATACTGAGGGCAGAAAGGAGGAGTGGATGGATACTGAGGGCAGAAAGGAGGAGTGGATGGATACTGAGGGCAGAAAGGAGGAGTGGATGGATACTGAGGGCAAACAAGAAAGCACCAATTGGAGTTCTTTCAATAAATAAAAAGACTCAGGCAATAGCCACATAGGACCCACAGTCATGCTCCCTTTGTCACAAGACACCTCAGAATTCTATGAAAAACCATAGCAGCAGCCTAAAAGGAAGCCAAAAAAAAAAAAAGAACGGCCTCTAAAACGGAACATCAGTTATCGGCGTAATTTACATATTACCTTGTGTGAGAAGCATTGTGATGGATACTATAGGCAATACCAGCTTTCACACTTTTTATCCACTTGCCGTCTGCCTGTTGTCAATAAAACGGATGGAGGGCAAGCTCCTATCAGCGGGGCGCTGTAAACGTACGCCTTTTTTTTGGCGTGCGCGCACACAAGCAGAACACACTGACATGTTTAAAACAGCCGATAACGGCTGTTTCACATACAAGCAATCGGCGGCTCTATAGCTATCTGATCACTTGCAGCTACTACCCTGCAGTGTGCTTGACATGTTTGGTGTCTATTTACCCGATGTGACCCCCGTCTTTTATATTTTACCAAAAAATTGGGTAATAAAAGTTTCATAATTTAATATAGGGGAAACTTTTTTTCCCCCAACATTTTCAGTAATTTTTCCTTAATATAGTCAAAAATAAAACCCCAGTGGGGATTAAATACCACCAAAACAAAGCTTCATCTGTCCCCCCCAAAAAAATTGTACAAAGTTCATTTCATTACAGCGTTGCATGATGGAATAAATGTCAAAGTACCGCAGCGCTGAATACTGAAAAATGGCCTGGATGAGAAGGGGGTTTAACACCCCGGTCTTTAAGTGGGTAAAAGAAAACTGTTTCTAGTGTACAAAATAATGGCAGAAATTACATGAAACGCTTATACAAAAAAGAAAGACCTATTTCTACGAAATATCATATTGGCTGTATCCAAAGACGGCAGGATACACATGAAACATGTCTGCAGTGCCTCACCTGCTTGTCTTTGATTTCCAGGTCTCGGGCAGATTTCTGGATGCTCTCCTGCAACTCATCAATGGTAGACAGACACAGTTCATGTTTCCCCTTTAGCTGAGTGATCTCTTGTTCTTGACTCTGGTTGTTCTGCTTGACCTTCTCGCACTGTGTCAATGCATCCTGCAGCTTCTGTGCCATCTGTTTGTTCTCCTCTCTGTACTTGCTACTGGTGTCTTCCAATAGAGCCACTCTCTGCTCCAGGGCAGTTCTCACTGCAGCAAAATCAACATTTTCCCTCTGCCTGAGATTCTGCACTTCTTCTAACTTTTGCTGGGCTCTGTTCAACTCTTCTTGCAATCTCTTCATTTCCTGTTTAGCCACAAGCAGAGCCTCCTCTTTCTCCTGCAACTTTGCTTGAGCTGCAGCCTCCCTTCTATGCCAGTCCTCCTTTTCCTCAGTATACTGTGCATTGGAGATGCAAGATCCTCTCTGTTCTTCCAGTTCCTTTTGCAAGTCACGCACCTTTTCCTGCATATTCTCATAAAGGTGGACCTTGGCACTTAACTCAGCTTCAAGAGTAGCTCTGGTATTGTCCAGTGTGGTCTTCAATTCATTGTGATTTTGTATGGGAATGTATTGACTGCTAAGACATTCCTGAAGAGCATTAAGCTTTCTGGTGCTCTGTAGATTTTCTTCTTGCAATGCACACTGCTTTTCGTCAGCCTCCACCCGTGTCCTCTGCAGATCCTGCAGACAAGCCCGAAGCTCATTCAATTCTTTGAGCATTGCAGCCTCCTCTTCCTTTCGTGAGGTCTGTTCCTGAAGAAGGGTCTGCTTTGATATCGCCAGTTCTTTCCTAAGGTCTAGTGTCTCTTGCTGCTGTTTTGATAAACCTTCTTTTGCCTCTTGAGTTATTTGACATTGTTTCTGTAACTCTAACTCCAGTTCCTTTCGTTCTGCCAAGAAGCTCTTCTCCTTTTCTTCCATGCTGGTAAGTGGAGCATATTTTTCAGTAATACAACGCTGTAACGTGTCCAGCTCAGCTCTCTGCTCTTTAATAGCTGCCTGCAGCTTGATCACCTCTTCTTTTTTATGTTGGTAATTAGCATATGTCTGCAAACACTCTTGCTTCATGTTTTCTTCACATTTCTGCAGCTCTGCCACCTTATCTTCATGTTCCTTTCTAGCTACATAATTTGATGAGATCTGTTCCTTTAGCTTGTCCAGTTCAGACTGCAACTCTGCCCGTTTGGAAGCTTCACCAGATGTCAGTGTGTGCAGTTCTGCATTTTCGGAGACCTCAGCTCTCAGCTTTTCTTGCAGTTCCGCCGCCTTTGCAGTCTGAGTCTTCAGTTGAGTCTGCAATTCTAACTTTACAGCAGACTCACTATCCAGCTGTACTTGCAGGTTTTTCTGCTTTATAATCTGCTTCTCCAGCTCAGCCTGCACAGTCGTCACCTGTTTCGTCTCATTCTCCAGTTGATTCCTGACCGTAACAACCTCAGATTTTGCTTTCTCCAGCTCTGCGGTCAGAGAGACAGAGGCCTGCAGGTGAGTGGCAAGAGGTATGTGATTTTCCTTTAGACTGGCATTTTCTGAGAGTAAAGCACAAGCTCGCTTTGCTTCTTCTTCCCATTTCTTATTCATGTCAGCCAGCTGTTTCTCCAGTTGTTTGATTCTTGACTGCATCTCTTTTACCTCTGTTTCATGTTCCTGGCGGGAAGTGGTGGAAGCTTGGAGGAGAACCATACCTTCCTTCAAGGTCTTCCTCTCCACCACCAGCTTCTCCTGTTCCAGTTCAGTCTTCCTGTGATTCTGCTCTGACTCTGCTAGCTTTTGGCTTAGCAGGGCTATAGTTTCCTCACAGGCTCTCTTAGTCTCTGCATGCAGTTGTGCTGGAACATGCTGACTTCTCATTTGCGCTCTTAGCTCCTCAGCTTGCCTCTGCAGCAGGATCTTCTCTGACTGGAGCTTCTCACTTTCCCGTGCAAGGCTGCTGTTCCTTACTTTCAAATCATTCAGCTCTTTCCTCAACATGTCCAACTTGGGTTCAGACCTCCTCTTCTCCTTATTTGCAGCTTCAAATTCATCTCTGACACGACTCAGCTCCTGTTCAACTTCTTCTAATCTCAGAGACTTCTCATTCACCTCATTAGTTAAAAGGCATCGCATGTTTTCAAACTTGTCAGTAGTGACAGCCAACTTCAGCTGCTCTCCGGCCTCTTGGGCCCTTCGCTCTGCTTTTTCCTTCTCCTCCTCACAAATGGCTAGCTCATCTTGAAGGCGCCTGTTGTCCTTGCGCAAGCGTGCGTCCTCCCTGCGCAGTTCCTGCCCCAGGAGCTCATTGTGACGCAGCTGGTTACGCAGCTTCCCAACTTCAGCAGATGCTCCCTCATATTTGCCTTTTACTTCTCTGAGCTGTTCCTGTAGGTCCTCAGCACGTGAGGAGCCACTTAGAGCTTCCTGGGTCAGGTGATCTTTCAGGGCCAAGAAGTGTGTCTGCATCTGCTTCACTTTGCTCTCAGAATCCAGCATCCGCTTCTGCACATCACGGAGCGCTTCTTCCAACTGCCGGATCTGTTGGTCTGACTCCGCTTTGCTCCGATCTCTTTCAGTGGCCAGAGCTACACACTCAGAAGATCTCCTTGACAGCTCCTCCTGCCGCCTCATGACCTCTTCTCTGGCCAACTCATAGTATCTGCGAATGGTTTCTAGCTCTTGGCGTTGATCAGAGTTTTCCCCAGGAAGCTCCAAAGGACGCAGCTGAGACCTGGCCGGCAGGTGAGCTGCATGCTGAGGATCTGTGCTTAGAACAAGATTCTGTTTCATTACAACCTCCTCTTTACCAGGACTGAATGGGCTATTGAGGTTTCCTTGGGAGGGTCACTACCTCTTTAAGTTTCACCACCACCGGGGGTACATCCAGGTGTCCGATGTCTTCTGGGCCTGAGGCCCAAAGCTCCTGAGGGATCCTATTCAGAATTTCAGGGGAAATGGTGGGTTTTCCATGTGGTTGATGAAGTGAAAGCATCAGGGGCAGGGAGCAAAGGGCTGAAGAATCCTCAGGTGACAATGGTGAATGTAAAGTCACTCCTCCCTCTGGTGTGAAGACGATGGAGGCCTGGAGTCTGGATAGCACATCTGCACCAAGCAAGTTAAGGGGACAGGTAGAGGACACCACAAATCTGACCAACAAGTTAGGATATGTCCCTATTTGGAGTGGTTTGGTGAGAGGATTGGGGCGTGGTACCCCATCTACACCCACACAGGACACATCTATGTCTGAAAGAAAAGAATCATCTGGCAGGTCTGTTGCTTTAAGTACACTTCTGGCTGCACCCGTGTCAATAAGGAAGGTGGTGGGTATCCCCTGTACAGGTAGGAAGCGTCCTCCCTGCGCAGTTCCTGCCCCAGGAGCTCATTGTGACGCAGCTGGTTACGCAGCTTCCCAACTTCAGCAGATGCTCCCTCATATTTGCCTTTTACTTCTCTGAGCTGTTCCTGTAGGTCCTCAGCACGTGAGGAGCCACTTAGAGCTTCCTGGGTCAGGTGATCTTTCAGGGCCAAGAAGTGTGTCTGCATCTGCTTCACTTTGCTCTCAGAATCCAGCATCCGCTTCTGCACATCACGGAGCGCTTCTTCCAACTGCCGGATCTGTTGGTCTGACTCCGCTTTGCTCCGATCTCTTTCAGTGGCCAGAGCTACACACTCAGAAGATCTCCTTGACAGCTCCTGCTGCAGCCTCATGACCTCTTCTCTGGCCAACTCATAGTATCTGCGAATGGTTTCTAGCTCTTGGCGTTGATCAGAGTTTTCCCCAGGAAGCTCCAAAGGACGCAGCTGAGACCTGGCCGGCAGGTGAGCTGCATGCTGAACAAAAAAGAAAAGGTATATAAAATGATGCCATATTAGTTCATATGCAGCACAGATAACATTTAAACAAACGTATCTAGTCAATCAGCTATGTACATATTTACACAGATCACAGTGTATAAACTCCAAGCATTATGATGACTCAGCATATAGCATTTTCTGCCTTGCAGGACAGAGTTTTGCAGCCATGTTCTAACCAGGGCAATATCAATCACATGTAACTATTACTATTCAAAATAGAAGCCTTCATAGCTGAAAAACAGTGTAAGCTACAGCAAAGTTGGTGCCAGATTTGCAGCTGTTTTTCAGCTACGAAGACTTATATTTTGAATAGTAATAGTTACATGTGATTGATATTGCCCTGGTTATGTTATCCACAATTTGATGTTAATGGAGGCATGGCAAACACAGATGGCAGCTATGCAGTCATATAACAACTAAAAAGAAGTTTGTAGAAAAAGAAATTCTTCACAATAACTGCTTTGTTACTTTCTTGTTATCAGATAAGCTTTTGAAGTCTTAATCTGTTTATGTTTAAAGAGACTTTTTTTTTTTTTTACAAGAAAAAAAAATCCTAAATTGCCAGCTGCCACACATCAAGTCTATTCTCTGATTTAGCATGCGTGGTTGCCCTGGATCCGAGTACACAGGCATGCAAACACCAAATCCAAGTTTGGTCGTGCTCCCTACCCCCATCTCAGATGGGGGAGATGGACACAGGCTGGGGTCTTGCTGCTACAAGACACTGGCCGCTCTCCCTTGAATATCGTGACAGGCAGCGGGGTAGATCATCACGCTGCAGGAGGTGGTGCGCAGGACACAGGCTGGGGACCTGCTGCTGCAGGACATCGGACTGGCCGCTCTCCCTTGAATATAATGACAGGCAGCGGGGTAGGAGATCACTCTGCAGGAGGAGGAAGTGCGCAGGACACGGGCTGGGGACCTGCTGCTACAACACACTGGCCTCTCTCCCTTCAATGTCGGCAATCAGTAAGATGAATATCGATGCAGATTATTGTAGTCATTGTGATTATCGGCCATAATAATAGTGGATCCCTAATGCCCATTACACAATACCACTGAAAACAAAATGTACTTTACTTCAACATCTACTTTACCATCATTAAGTGTTATTTAAGAGGAAGAGGAACTTGTTAAAGGTTTTTTTTTTTTTATTACTTAAAACATATTGATACAACATATGTTTCTAAGACTGTGATAGGCATAAAAGACTGTACCATCTGCCGCAGCTAAGATTACTATGAAGACTTCAGTCTAAAATGCTGAGATGTGCAGAACACTGACACATTACTTCCAACATCAATAATAATAATACACCCTGATCATTACCATTGTTGTGGGATATATAGTGAAGACAGGTCACAAAAACACCCATGTGTTTATTAATCAAAGTACCTGAGGATCTGTGCTTAGAACAAGATTCTGTTTCATTACAACCTCCTCTTTACCTAGAAAGCAAGAAAACAGGATCAGAAACCACTTGTGTGTGCGACAATGTCCGTATGATTGGCTCTTGCTCTCATACTCACCAGGACTGAATGGGCTATTTGGAGCGGAGTGATTCTTCTGCTGCAAAACAAAAGTAGGAAGCCAATTTAGGACCTTGGACTATTGTCGATGGCATCAGTTTAACATGTTTATCAACTCATTCGGAATTCATTGACAGGTACATATGACCTGCTTCAAGTAGGTTTTGCATTCTCATAGACTTGTATCAGAAAACGAAATCCATAAAAAAAAACAAAAAAACAAAGAATGTCAACACTTTCCCTTGGGCTGTATGGGACCTCAGACCTTATATATAATGGATTTAGGAATCTAATCTCCCACTGACTGGTGATAAAAAACAGAATTGTAGTCTTTCTCCTGACTGCTCAGATTTCACTCAAACATTCTGATGGTACAACCAGTAATGTTATGGTGAGGTGCACCAAAAGGAACCAAAAAGCACTCCCCTATGACAAGAACTAAAGTGCAGCTGCATACAAATCGGATAAATATCTCTCGGTATAGGTCAGGAGTGGTTCTGAAAGCAGTGTTATCTTGAAAGTATAAAGTCATGTGCATAGCTTCCCCTTAAAGCGGACCTTTACCTTCAAAAATCAAATTCTACCAACCCATCCCTCTATGTATGATGATTAATAATAACATAGACATGTCAGGTGTAAAATGATGTGATTTTAAAACACTTACACTTGCAGAGCATTCACTTCCTGCTTTGAAAGTGCACATGACTTCAGTTTGCCAAAGCAATGCACACTGGGATTGCCTTGTCATTAGCAGAGCATTGCTGGGAAATCGCATGTGTAATCTCAGGGAAAGATGTTTTCCTCCCCTGAGATGTGCATGGTCCTAGTCACATGTGCCAGTACTCCAGGAAGTAATGAGAGCTAGTAATCTGCCCTTAGTAAATATGGCCACTGTCAGAAGACTGGGGAAGAAAAGAGAAATAGGGTATGCAAAGAATACAAAGCCGGCAATTATCTAGAAGTATGTGTTTGTAGATTGTCATTACTAAACAGTTCTAAAGGTGTGTTTGTTGTTGTTTTAAAGATATGGATAAAAGGTCCGCTATAAGGCAGTCATGGACAGATCACGCTGGGAAAACAAAAAAGTAAAGCAATGCTTTTAAGCAGCCCAGAGAAAGGCCAGACACCGCATCTCCGCACACAATAAAAAAAAAAAAGGTATGTTTGCTATCTTAAAGATCTGGGTAAAGGTCCGCTTTAAGGGAATTTTCTTTCCTGACTGGTAGTGAAATTGAACCATCTATTGTTTAAATGCACAATGCTGTCGAAAAAACAGCCAGTAACCAAGTGAAAACGTTTTTCAGCCTTGCTGGCAACACAGTCGGGCATATGCCATAAGCAACTGAGAATAGTAGAAGAATGTTTTCCCCTGTTCCTTTTTCAAAGTGATCTGATGAAAGGCTAAACATTTAAGTGAAGCCGCTTTAGGATATTGATGCACATCCTGTATTCCAATCTTCAACTAACCACAGGATATGTCCAGCCCTGACAGTATCCACAGGAGCAGCATTTTGAAAAAGAAAAGAGTAAGGATACCTGCCTATCAGAGCAAATCCCGCCCATTTTTTGCAAAGCAAGCACAATAATTATGTTTTTAAAGTTAGTAAGAAGTAAGATTTGTTTTTGTCAATGGTGCTAGAGCTTCACCTTGATAACAATTGCATTGTATAGCTCTCTTTTACCTACACAATAGAGCTGGATTTAGCACATATATTTGGGGGCCATAGACACAACAGATACCCTTGCTGACAACTGACCAAAGTTATTCCTTTTGTTTGACTTATATCACTTATGTACCAAGAGCATTGTGCTGATATTTTACTCGTAATAATTTCAACTTTTTACACTAGTTTAGAAACCAGCCCTGTCCCCCAAAGTTCAAAGAGGATGACCAGTACGTGACTAGTTTAACAAAGCCGTAATAGCCACAATCACCGTATTATTTGTACTTGCATAAAGTGGCTGCATGTCATGTGAAGCACAAAATGTCATTTATTTGCACAAAGAGGAACAGTAAAATACTACATTTTCAAAGCAAGAATGTTAACTGAATTATGGCAGTTCTGGAAAACACGCCAATATAATAAGAGACTATACGCAGATAACACAGTGCAGCTCATTTATAAAACATGAAAGAAAAAAAAGAATTAGGTCTCCTACAGCACCCAATTAATAATGTTCTGATCTGTAATGGATAACCAACAGCTTGCTGTGCTCTAAGCATATAAACATGTTCCTGTATGAAGCACCTTTTGACCATGACAATTAATGCGACCCTAAACTCATGAGTTAAATCTTAAAAATGTATTAAAAAGTACCTTACTATTCACATAAAATGTATCTTATTTGTGTATCACTCGGCTGTAGATCCTCAAATCATCTCCGAATTGGTGCCGATACTGTCCTTCCTTCTGGAGGATGGCTACTTTTGTTCCCCATGGTCCCTGTATGTGTTGTAAAGTAGCCACCGCTCCAAGCTCACTCCTGTGATGGTCTACAATCTAAGTACAAATGAGTAAACGTGAGATTGTAGTCCATCAGGAGGGGGAAGGAAGACAAAAGCGACTGATAAATGTCACGTTTGAGGAGCTTTGAAATCAATATGGAGTATTGCAGCTCCCCATTTCCAGTTCCCTCACTTCCTATCCACATCCTGCCACAACATCTTGCTCACCTCATAATATCTCATTTTTCCTCGCAGGTTCTCCATAGTTCTCAAGCCCCCTTCAAGCTCTTTTTCTTTTGCCTCCAGCAGGGATTTTAGCTCCTCTTTCTGCAATTGGAGAAAGATCATGAAAAGTTCACGTGCAACTTATAGAAGGGAGATTGGTGAACACAGGTCTCAGAACCTTACCTCATTCTCCAGGTCATCTGTTATCATCTGTTCCTGTAATATGAACACAGAGTAAGTGTACTGTCTGTGGTGACTGCAGTATAGTATACAATTGTTCTCTTGTCAAAGGGCTGGAAACCCCACCTAGTTCCCCTGTACAAAACACAGGCCTTCCACACCCCCCCATCTGGGTGAGATGCTGAAATACGTTATTTCCTGTCTCCTGCTGACAGGCAGTTTTTTCCTTTTTACCTTTAATTTGCTGTTAGCGAGTCTCAGCAGTTTCACATTCCCAGAACTGCAGCCTGGAGGAGATATTCCATCTGTTACAGCAAAAGGTTCCTGAGCAGTAATCACAGCAGGTGAATCCAACTCAAGTCTCCTTCCTTATGACTAGGGTTGCTGTTCTTGTTTGAGAAAACACTAAATTATTCACAGACCTCAAAGATTTGGTTCTGAAAACCTAGAACTGAACATCTGAGATGTCCGCATGCGCTAAATTCGGCGCAAAAAAAAAAAAGTGTTAAAAGCCACACAGTGTGCATAATAAAATGCACATAGCAGTAGTTATGTGCATATAAACACACCGCTATTTAAAATCGGCGGAGGTCTATTTACAATGTAAATTATAAACCAGTACAGGGCTGGTTTATAATTTGCTAATGTACAGGTGAAACTCGAATAATTAGAATATTGTGCAAATGTAATTGCAGCAAGTGCTGCAAAAGGGGCCCAAACCAAGTACTGAGTACATATGCATGCTTGTACTTTTCAGAGGTCCGATATTGTTCTATGTACAATCCTTGTTTTATTGATTGCATGTAATCTACTTTTTTGAGGTTGTGGATTTTCATGAGCTGTAAGCCATACTCATCACAATTATGACAAATCACGGCTTGAATTATCTTGCTTTGCATGTAATGAGTCTATCTCATATATTAGTTTCACCTTTTAAGTTGCATTAGTGAAATAAATGAACTTTGCACGATATTCTAATTATTCGAGTTTCACCTGTAATGTCTCCAATGTGAGAAAGAAAGACATGGACAGCTCCAGCAGCAGGCATTAATAAAAAATAAATAAAAATAAAATCGCAAAAAGAAAAATGGTGTGGGGTTTCCCTTATTACTCTAACCAGACCATTACCCAGGAATACAGCCTGGGTGAAAAAGTGAGTGCAAGCAACCCCCCATACCTGGCCACATCATTTCTGTACCATACCTGGCCACATCATTTCAACATTTGGTGTTGAAACATTGTGTCTGAAATGCCTCTCTGCCCCTCTGCACAGCACACCTTGCCCCAATCTTGAGAAACCTCTTCCCCCAGTTTTGTATGCCCCAAAATGGAAGTGGGCAATAGTAAAATGGGGGCGACTGAGGCACACCAGATGTGTTGAAACTGCGCTGGATACGTCTTCTATAGTGGAGCCTCAACATTAGACAAAGCAATTTAACAGTGGAATCAGCGCATGAGCACTGTGCCTGCGTTGTAGCACCGCTGCTGGTGTAAATAGGCCCTTAAGGTGGATATCCTCCACCATATGTAAAACCAACACACATTGAAATAAGAATCCACCAAATAAACCACATACTTGCCATTTTAAAAAATAAATGTTAACATCTAGCGTCAATTAAGGCGTCCGATGAAGGAATCCACATCCCGACCTGTCACCCGCCGATCTGTACATGTCACACTCCACAAAATGAAAGATTCTTAGCCTGTAGCCATTAAAATTTACCGCCAGGAATATCGGGTTATTTCATTGGCCAAATCTGATTAATTATGTTACCTGGGATTCTCAGAGGTAAATTTCAATTACCGCAACTGGGAATCTGTCATTTAGCAGTGATAGTGAGGTGTGAACAGCCCACCCAGACCAAGCTTTTCACTGTATTACTTCTTTTAAGGAAATCCAAGGTCAAGCAAGTATAGAGATTGCCACTGCTCAAAAAATACATAGTTGATTGGTTGTTTTGCTGAGGATACACAGTCATTTAATTGCTGCAGTGACTGAAGACAGAACACATACAAACTGAAGACTGCGCACATGTTCAGGGTCAATTACCAGTGACCAATTAATGTCAGGATCCACATGAGTGTAAGGTTCCTGAGCAGTAATCACAGCAGGTGAATCCAACTCAAGTCTCCTTCCTTATGACTAGGGTTGCTGTTCTTGTTTGAGAAAACACTAAATTATTCACAGACCTCAAAGATTTGGTTCTGAAAACCTAGAACTGAACATCTGAGATGTCCGCATGCGCTAAATTCGGCGCAAAAAAAAAAAAGTGTTAAAAGCCACACAGTGTGCATAATAAAATGCACATAGCAGTAGTTATGTGCATATAAACACACCGCTATTTAAAATCGGCGGAGGTCTATTTACAATGTAAATTATAAACCAGTACAGGGCTGGTTTATAATTTGCTAATGTACAGGTGAAACTCGAATAATTAGAATATTGTGCAAATGTAATTGCAGCAAGTGCTGCAAAAGGGGCCCAAACCAAGTACTGAGTACATATGCATGCTTGTACTTTTCAGAGGTCCGATATTGTTCTATGTACAATCCTTGTTTTATTGATTGCATGTAATCTACTTTTTTGAGGTTGTGGATTTTCATGAGCTGTAAGCCATACTCATCACAATTATGACAAATCACGGCTTGAATTATCTTGCTTTGCATGTAATGAGTCTATCTCATATATTAGTTTCACCTTTTAAGTTGCATTAGTGAAATAAATGAACTTTGCACGATATTCTAATTATTCGAGTTTCACCTGTAATGTCTCCAATGTGAGAAAGAAAGACATGGACAGCTCCAGCAGCAGGCATTAATAAAAAATAAATAAAAATAAAATCGCAAAAAGAAAAATGGTGTGGGGTTTCCCTTATTACTCTAACCAGACCATTACCCAGGAATACAGCCTGGGTGAAAAAGTGAGTGCAAGCAACCCCCCATACCTGGCCACATCATTTCTGTACCATACCTGGCCACATCATTTCAACATTTGGTGTTGAAACATTGTGTCTGAAATGCCTCTCTGCCCCTCTGCACAGCACACCTTGCCCCAATCTTGAGAAACCTCTTCCCCCAGTTTTGTATGCCCCAAAATGGAAGTGGGCAATAGTAAAATGGGGGCGACTGAGGCACACCAGATGTGTTGAAACTGCGCTGGATACGTCTTCTATAGTGGAGCCTCAACATTAGACAAAGCAATTTAACAGTGGAATCAGCGCATGAGCACTGTGCCTGCGTTGTAGCACCGCTGCTGGTGTAAATAGGCCCTTAAGGTGGATATCCTCCACCATATGTAAAACCAACACACATTGAAATAAGAATCCACCAAATAAACCACATACTTGCCATTTTAAAAAATAAATGTTAACATCTAGCGTCAATTAAGGCGTCCGATGAAGGAATCCACATCCCGACCTGTCACCCGCCGATCTGTACATGTCACACTCCACAAAATGAAAGATTCTTAGCCTGTAGCCATTAAAATTTACCGCCAGGAATATCGGGTTATTTCATTGGCCAAATCTGATTAATTATGTTACCTGGGATTCTCAGAGGTAAATTTCAATTACCGCAACTGGGAATCTGTCATTTAGCAGTGATAGTGAGGTGTGAACAGCCCACCCAGACCAAGCTTTTCACTGTATTACTTCTTTTAAGGAAATCCAAGGTCAAGCAAGTATAGAGATTGCCACTGCTCAAAAAATACATAGTTGATTGGTTGTTTTGCTGAGGATACACAGTCATTTAATTGCTGCAGTGACTGAAGACAGAACACATACAAACTGAAGACTGCGCACATGTTCAGGGTCAATTACCAGTGACCAATTAATGTCAGGATCCACATGAGTGTCAGATGACAAGGTCAGCAATGGAAGCCTTCTTTTTCTCTTAGCAAAGATTTTTCAATTTAAACCAATTCAGTTACAACACTTCCTGTTGTAAGAGGACTCACTACGCTGGCTTCATTGAGCATATTAAATCCAAAATGGGACAAAATGCCAAGATTTTTCTGACACAGGACAGAAGAGAAATAAGGCAGCAGGTTATTTAACTTAGATCAAATCTCCCTGGCCCATGAATGGGAAGCTTCATCAAGGACCACAAATAAAACATTTCTCTGTCTTCAGAAATGAGATCACAGGTCATTACAGTACAGCAACTAAGTGCAGTAGGATTGTGACCTCCCTGTCATCATAAACACACCCACATATGGCTATATAAACAGACAATTTGATTGAGCTATACAAATAAAGATCCTGACACACCCGAATAATAAAATGCACAAATAATTATTAAGCCTGTAAGTAGCTGTCTCTAAAAAGGGAATGGAACCTGGTTGAGCTGAAGCTGAAAGCCCCCCACTTTGTCCAGCAATGAACGCTGCTCCAACTGCATTTTCCTCAGCTTATCCCGCAGGTCTTCATTCTCAACTTCCAGGTCCTGAATGAAAAGAGTTCATGAGCACACAAGTCATTGCCTCATTCTCTCACCCTAAACACACTTTTAAACATATATAAAGCTGCACGCACCTGAGAATGGTCCTTGGACTTTGCAAGAGTCTCTTCTTTGGAGTTAGCCTTTGCCCATTTCTGTGTGGACAGAGTACATAAAAAGGAGAAATAAGCTCCTATTACAAGCTGAACATCAAACGTGACCTCTGGGAAGTACACAGGATGACAGGTACTTTGGGTTTATGGCACCAGATCATCATTAATTATTAAACTCACAAAAAGGGAACGTTTCCTCAGCATCTGTCTAAACTGCTGTCACTTCGATGCCAACGGCAAGAATTATAACAAAACCCAGCTAGTAAAACACTGGAGCAAAAACATTACAATGATGAAAACTGATGGGACAGAACTGGCAGGCCGAATGTAGCCATGCATTTTACATCAGGAAAGATCTTGATATCTGTAAACAATCTACATGCTGCCCAGATAAAGCCATAAAACTTCTCTTCCTACCACATCAGTAATGCACACAGCATTTCATCATATGCAAGCACACTCATTAGGCTAAACAAAAACACAACAGAGGTCAAAGAACACGGGCATATGGAAATGTACCCGTTTATGTACCCCTGGGGTAGGCAACCTCGGCATTCCAGCTGCGGTGAAACTACAAGTCCCATAATACCGCAGTAGTTTCAATGATGACTGTGGCTCTCAAAGTCTTGCAATGCCTTGTGGGACTTGTAGCTCCACAACAGCTGGAGTGCCGAGGTTGCCCACCCATGATGTATTCAAATACATCTTTCACAACCATTCCTGTTACAGCAGGGATTTATTTACAGAAATACGTTTTGTTAGCAAATGTAAACTCACCGCCCGTAAAGACACTTTGCTTCTTAAAGGATCAGGACCTGTGTGAAAATACAAACCAGTTAGCACCATTATCCATGACCCTCAGGGTCCTATTAGATGTGTGTAGTAAAACATGCATTTTATTGCACCAGAACTTACAGCAAGTAGAAATTCCATTTATCTTTATATGTCCAGTTCATTACAAAAGGCAGCATAGAAGGTATTTCAGGGACCAGACAGTGTTTTTGGGTGCAATAACTTACAATTGCGGGCCCACTGGAACCAATGAAAGTGCACAAAAGTAAATTTGAGCATTTTGGTGCAGCTCTACTATGCAAGCTTTCAATGCTGAAAGTTCCATTCCCACTTTGCAGAACACCTTACCAAAAAGATATTAAAAAAATATGTGCACTGAACAGGCACATCAAGCACATGGTAAGCGCATATGAAAACACATGCACAAAAACACATTAAAATAGAGCATTTCTGAATACGCACACGAGAGAGAAAGGCCCATTACGTGTCATATCAAACCGGCCAAATATCACATTTTCACTGGTAACCATTGACCAGAAATATTTTCTGCTCTTTAAATCAGAACTTCAGAACTTCCTTTGCCCACTCTTCAGCTGAAAAGTAGCATTACACCACATCTCACTGCAAACCTTCTTCCAATTTTAGGTAGAGTGTCAGTACTTCGGTAAATTATGGGCCTGTTGGGGAGATTTCCCTTCACTTCCTGTCCAGGCGAATGTTGTTGGCACATGTAAGTATAACTACCAACGGACGACCGAAATCAAGGCAGAATAATAACAATAAAAATAGTGGGGAACAACAAGGTAGTAAACTTTTGTCCCACAAAAAGAGAGGAATTAAATGTATGTACACCAACGCTAGAAGTCTGGCAAATAAAATAGAGGAGCTTGAAATTAGGCTAATTGAAGAGGAATTCGATATAGTGGGTATAGCGGAAACCTGGCTGGACAGCACGCATGACTGGGCTACTAATATAGAGGGGTATAACCTGTTTAGGAGGGACAGAGGGGGGAGAAGGGGGGCGTTTGCATTTACGTAAAAAATAATCTAAATGTGCATACAAGGGACAATATCGCGTCAAATAATGGGGAAGACGTGGAAACCCTATGGCTGGAGCTAGATATGACGGACACTAGCCGTAAACTTCTCGTGGGTATTTGCTATAAACCTCCAAATATAGGGGAAGAGGGAGAAGTCAATCTTCACTCACAGATAGGAATAGCTGG